GGTTATTTACATGTTTTCTTGTGTTGAAATATTTCCCAGTTTTTTGTTGGATTATTTGTTGTAGGGATGCTGTTGGGATATTTGAGTTCCTGGTATACTCCAGACAGTGAACCCTTGTCACTGTCTGCTCATGCTGTCGACTGCTGTGGAGAAACTTCCTGCTTGGGGTAGTCCCACACGCCTGTTAGTTTTGTCTCTTACGCTTCTGAGCTTCTTTGCCCAGACCAGGGTCCTGAGATGTACTCTCCCCCATGTTTTCTTCTAATGGTTTTGCATTTTGAAGTGATTGTCATTCTTTAAGTGGGCTGTTCGTGATGACATTTAGAAGCCTGCTGGAAGTGACTTACCTTAAAGTTACATTTTATGACAGGTTACCTGTGAAGAACACAGGTTTCTATTACCATTATAATTTTTGCTTTATAGTAAATAGTATTCTAAATGTTTGCCTAAATTCTTCTTCGTGAGGTGGGGAAATGGGTATCTATTTTACTTCTTACAGATGGCATTCCCTTTTTAAAACCCTTCCCACAGATTATTCAAGATCTTACTATAATCGCTGCCTGTGCACCTTCTGCTAGTGGGAATGACATCAGCCCACGCCTCCTCAAACACTTCTCCATACTGGTATTACCTCATCCTCCACAGACCGTGTTATGTACTATCTTCCAGGTAATGCGTCTAGCTTGTCCTCCTCCCCCCCTGCCCTCACACCCTCACACCCACCCCTCCCTTCACTGGGCGAGAGCCAGGTTCTCAAGAATGCTATAAGTACTCTGCTACACTGCTTGGTGGTTTGTTTTGTTTTGTTTTGTTTTGTTTTGTTTGTCAACTGGACGAAAGCCTTGGCGTACCTGGGAATAGTGAATCTTTTCTTTTTGTGTGTGTGGTCGTTGAAACAGGGTTTCTTCTATGTAACCCTGGCCAGCCTGGAACTCACTCTGTAGACCAGGCTGGCCTCAAACTCAGAGATCCACCTGCCTCTGCCACCCAAGTGCTGGGATTAAAAGTTGGGGTGTTATCTTGATTGTGGGAGGGCCCAGCCTGTTGTGAGCGCCCCTGGGCAGGTCATCGTGGGTGTATAAGAAAGCAGTTGAGCAAGCCAGGAGGACCCAAGACAGTAAGCAGCACACTCCATAGCCTCTGGATCAGCTCTGCCCCCAGGTTCCGGCCTGGAGTTCATGCTCAGCCTCTCTTGGATGACGGGGACTACAAGCTGTACGGTGAAATAAACCCTATCTTCCACATCTTAGCCCATTTTCTACTGGGGAGGAAGGAAAAAAACATGAGGAAAAGACTGAGAACTTGAAAACACTAACACTGAGGAATTATTTTTGTCCTCATAAATTGTATTTCTCCTATACTTCTGAACTATTAATATGATTTATCTTTTAAAATTGAAATCACAATTTGGTGCTCATAGAGGTGCTGCGGTACGTGTCTAATCTACTGCAGTCCTAGAACTCTGTCTTTCTGACAGGTTCCCTGCGTCTGGCATGGCCTCAGGAACTGCATGAGTCCGTGTAGTTCTCATCTCTGCCTCTTTTTGCAGGAGGCAGGATCTCCTCCACCATCTGGGTTGGCATCCACACTTACTTTCTTCTAAAACAGTTTTCTTTTAGGTGCAGCCCATGCTTTCCAGCATCCAAATCATAAGGGATTAGAGGGAAATTGGTTTTAATTTACCTTTAAAACTTACAAAGAAAGAAAATGTAAGATTAATTTTGAAGAAATTTGCTATGGTCTATGTAATCTCATCCGCCAGATGTATAAATTTGCACTGTATTTCAATTTGAGCCATTTTTTTCCACAAGGAATCCTGGACTCTCCAAAGGAAATCCATGTGTTTGGCAGTACAGATAGGGTGATGTTCTAGCACCTACCCCTCTGGGCAAGCAAGGAGATGCTGTGCACAGAGGTGGGCCACCAACTGTCCCCAAAGAACACCCATATCACATGCTTCTAGACCGGGAGACAAACACTGAAACCTCCCCAACGATCGGTTTCCCACACTCAGGGCGCCTCCGTACCTACATTCTGAGCTCCCTTGCCACCATGGTGTCCTAAAATTCTAACTAGTAGCAATCTTTACTGGAATTAACCCTCCATCAAAGTTCACAAGTCGGCTTCTTGGTGAGTATTAGCCACAGCATACATTTAAATGTTGAACTGAGTATTATGTTTTCTCCTTAAAGGCCCACTTGGGAATGTATTTCTCCCTCAATAACTTCGTAGCTGAGGTCCAGAAATGCAGAGACCAGCTTGTGCTTTGTTCTCTGGCGATATATTATCAAGTCTGTAAGAACATGCTGCCAACGCCAACCAAATGCCACTACTTATTTAATCCCCGAGACATGTACAAGGTTTGTTTTGAAATTAATTCTCTAGCTTATTTTTAACATTTAAATTGAGATGGGATTGTACTGCGTCAAGAGTCTCCATCTCCTGGCCTCCTTCCCTCCCTCCCTGTTGGTATTGTCTACCTGAGATTGTTAAAAGGTGTAAGAAGTGAACTCATGGTTGAAGCTTGTACCACAGGTCCATTGAAGAGGATTGTTCGGAAGCAGAGGATCCAATAACAAAGCCACTCAGGCTTTCGGCATACAAGCTGGGATCCTGCCAGTAGAAATGACAAGGTCACAATGTAGCTTTGGTTTTGGCTTTGTTAGGAGGATTTGTGTGGCTGCGAGGGAGGGAACCTATGTAGGTGCTTCATACACCTGAGTGAATTTTCACCACTTTTCCAGCAGTGCTGGCTCTGTCAGCAGCCATAGTTAAATAATTTCCAAAATTCAATGTTAAGAAAAAAAACTTAGCCAAGCATAGTAGCTGTGGTGGTTTGAATGTAACTGGCCCCCATAAGCTTACAGGGAGTGGTGTGATTAGGAGGTGTGGCTATATTGGAGGAAGTGTGTCACAGTGGAGGCAGGCTTTGAGGTCTCATATGCTTGGGATACCACCCAATGACTCAGTCTACTTCCTGTTGCCTCCAAGAGGTGGGACTCTCAGCTGCCTCTCCAGCATGGTGTCTGCCTGTACAACAACATGCCCAGCCATGATAACGGACCAAACCTCTGAACCATAAGCTGCCACCCAAATTACAAGTTTTCACTTATAAGAGTAGCTGTGGTCATGGTGTCTCTTCACAACAATAGAAACCCTAAGACAGTAGCACACACCTTTAATCCCAGCACTTTGGGAGGCAGAGGCAGGTGGATCTCTTTGAGTTCAAGGCTATCCTGGTCTACAGAGAGAGTTCCAGGACAGCCAAGACTACACAGAGGAAAGAAAACTTGTCTCAAAAAAAAAAAAAAAAAAAAAGAGGAGGAAAGAAAGAAGAAAAGGAGGGAGGGGGGAGGGAAGGAAGAAATTTAGTATGGTATCTTTCTTCTCTCACTGTAGAAGTTGTTCAGCCCTAATTTGCATAGGAGTTCTTAATCAAAACTTAAAATGTTGAGCACATCAGCATTAAAAAGTACCTCACAGCCAGATACATAGCACCTTTAATCCAGTATTTAGGAAGCAGAGACAGGGAGATTCCTGAGGCCAGCCTATTCTATGTGAAAAACCAAAGGCCAGCCAAAGCTACAGAGACCCTGTCTCAAAAAAAAGCAGGGGTGGAGTTAATAAAATGTCCCTCGCTGTCACCTGTGCTGGCAAACCAGGCTGTGGTTTCTGGTCCTGGTGATGAGCCTCTCTTAGATGAACCTGAGACATTACCAAATCTCTCCCCACTGGGAGCCATTCTGTGGCAGTTTTCTTTGGCTTTTAACTTGCCTATCCCACAAAAAAACATGCAGATTGTCACAAAAATTGAGGAAAGTTTCTTCTATATTTTTTCAGATTTTTTTATTTGAATTAGAAACAAGTTTGTTTTACATGTCAATCCCAGTTCCCTCTCCCTCCCCTCCTCCCCTACCACCCCCCCCGCAACTAAAACCCTACCTATCACATATCCTTTCTGTTCCCCCTGGAGGGTGAGGCCTACCATAGGGTGTCATCAGAGTCTATCGTATCCTTTGGGATAGGGCCTAGGCCCACCCCCGTGTGTCTTGGCTCAGGGAGTATCCCTCTATGTGGAATGGGCACCCAAAGTCGACATCTGTGCTAGGGATAAGTACTGAACTACTACAGGAGGTCCCGTAGAATTCCAAGGTTTCCTCACTGAAGTCCACGTTCCTGGGGTCTGGATCAGTCCCATGCTGGTTTCCCAGCTATCAGTCTGGGGAGCAAGAGCTCCCCGATGTTCAGGTCAGCTGTTTCTGTGGGTTGTACCAGCTTGGTCTGGACCCTTTGCTCATCACTTGTCCTTCTCTGCATCTGGATGCCAGTTCAGTTCAGTGATTAGTTGTGGGTGTCTGCTTCTACTTCCACCAGCTGCTGGATGAGGGCTATGGGTAGCCTCTCCTCTGTTGCTTAGATTGTTAGCTGGTGTCATCTTTGTAGATCTCCAGACATTTCCCTAGTGCCTGATTGTCCCGCCCGATCGCCTCGCCAGCAAAAACGACACAGGGACACTAATCAGGATCCTTCTGCAGTAAAGCTTTAATGCGTCTTGAGGCCAAGAATCCCGTCCCCTAATAAAGGCTGACAACCGCCACCTTGGACGTGTCACCCTATGATTGGCTGCAGCTCATCGGACCATATGACCCCACGGAATAGGCAGAGATCAAGGAATGGAAAGTTACCCAGTGCCTGCGCCCATTAACTTGTTTACATTCGGTGCCTGCCGGATGCAGGCGCCATCTTGTAATGGAGAATGCAGGGACGGCTCCCTACACCTGATTTCTCTGCAAACCTAAAATGTCTGTCTCTGTTATGGGATCTCCATTCTTGTTATCTTCTATTCTTCCCCTGACTCAACC